TATAAAGAACCGTCGTTAATGCCACGTCGGTTAAAGAGCTCCTCAGTGGGAAGATTGCCTATATTTGTCGTTCAAAGCCTTTGCTCCTGTCGCTGTAAAGCCTGTATATGCGAAACCGTGGACGACGGACGCTACCACCGTATACTAGCTGTGCTTTTCAGAAACGGTGGCTAGGAATCCCTGTATCTTCGGTCAGCCTTCTTGTGCCTCCGGTTGTTCTAGTCCTGGATCGCATCCCATATGTTACTAAAGTTATCCCTTATGGTCGTCCATGGCTATTCTGGCTAGGCACGTACTTCGGACATGTAGAGGTTGTTCTACGCGTTTCCAGCAAGGAGCACAGCCTCACTCCATAACAACGCAACAAGTTACATATCGGTCTCCGTAGCATGGTGTCGTGAGTTGACCCTTATCTCCGTTGAAACAGTACTTATTCCTCACACCCCCGCAAGACACGCCAAGCCCGTGAACCTTGAGCCTATCACATACTTCAAGTGTCTTACGCGGCTATCGTGGTTTGCATATGAGCAATCTCATTCCTGACTTTTCTAAGTGCAACTACCGCTTATGCAAACTTCAGTACTCCCGCATGGAATGTTCACGAGGTCAGTCTAAATAATGCATCTAACCGTCACTGGTTTCATCAGCATTCTGGTCGCTTTCTTCGCTTCTTGCAGCTTGAAGGTTCGGATCAGTGCTGGTCAATAAACTCCCGATCAGCAATCCAGAGTGCACCATCCCTTTTGCACCTGAACATCACTAATTCGTGACCTCCCCACTACCTGGTTTCAAGAAATCGGACACGCCATGTTTGTGTGTACAACAGTAACACCCTTCGCGTTGCCGTCACCAAATGCCTGTAGAGAGGCCGTTTTCTGAAGCTTAGGCTCTTGACAGTTTCCAACTTTTGGGCATGAGCCTATTCCTCTTTGCCCTTGGTGCATATAGCTGCTTCCTGACGAATTACCTCATCACGGTCCTAAGGAGCAGGGCAGTGGGACTGAAAGCTGAACGGTCTCTCATATGAATCTTGATGAGGCGTAAGCGGGTTCGACACACGTACAACGGTGGTGAGCCGTGAGTCATTTTCTTACACCTCGAATTGCAACGACCGCGAGCCGCCAAATCAAACGGTACTGTTAAATCACGGTACTCTGCTCATTCGGCGCTGATGTGTCATCATGTATGATCTCAACTTCTGATTTAACAACTACGCTCCGCAATGCCGGCAGATGTATATAGATCCAGGTCTGTTCATCGTATCGTATCGTTGTGTGGCCTCGTGTAATAATAATGTGGCCCCATGAATCAGATTTACTTCTGAGAGTACATGGAGCAGCAGCGCATCAACCTGTCAACTCGTGGGACAAATGCGAGATCATCTGTGTAACTGGTCACTACTAACTGTGCGGCGAGCACCGCGGCCCTCAAGGCAGGCCGGAAAGGCTCTGTCATCAAGCGGTGGCGAAAAGTCCAGGGTCGACAAGACGATGCCCAACCGCAAGGTCTACAACCTGCTCAACTCGTTGCCGCGCCGCGCCACCAGCATCATCGTTCAGCTGCGCCTCAAGAATTAAAGCAAGCGACTCCGCCCTCTGCAAGCACTGCCGCCAGCCCGAGACGGTAGCACACTACCTCAAGCACTGCCGCAGATTCGCACGCCAGCGTGAGCAGCTCAGATGCAAGGCGGGCAAGGCCGCCCACTCCATCCCCCGTTTGCTGGGAGACCCGAAGACAGTAGCAGCGACCCTATTTCGTCCAAGACACCGGACGCTTTCAGCTATACAACGACATTGCACCGAAAGACTGAGCCCTAAGCCTTTTCCACCTCACTACCTAACGCTGCGCCATGCTGACATCGGCCCTCTACCATAGTGCCCCATCAAGCTCCAGACTCGGCTCTCGTTTTCTGCCGAGCTCTCGCCATGAGGGATTGGCCCTCCAGTGCCTCCCCGGCCAATATCGTTACACCCCAGTCCGACTGATAATCCTCTTCTCTTCTACTTCGCACACCTGCTACGCCCTTTTATTCCTAGATAGAGTGCCCACAGGCCGCATGCACCGGAGATGCGGGGAGTTTTGACCGCTACTGGGGGACCAGTAGCGGGATCCCTCCGCGGCAAGAGACAAAGATTCGGAGATGCAATCCATTTTCTTAAAGCGCGATAGGTTTTGAACCACGTCTCCAGCCCCGCCTCCTACTTTCAGGTTCAACCGTAACAGCGCAAGAGGGAGGCCGGGCAGCATCGTCGAAGTCGAATCTCGACCCTGCTTGGATCCCGGAATTCTTACGTAAGAGTGGTTGCACAAAGTCTCTGGCAAAGCTAAAATAAATGGTACTTACCCGACCAACTCCCGGGCCCGACCCTAGGGTCCAACTCTACTATATTGAGTAGTACTGCGGGTGACAAACGACCAACCTCGTTTCCCCACTTCCCGGACGAACTCAATTGAGTGACTGTATGGAGTAGCGAGTGCTGTTACGAACCTGTATACGACTTATCAGGCGCCAGCGTAGTATGTCCATTTAAGATGCCACACCTTGGTTTAGATCTCCATCCTGCTGCCGCTAGCTCCCCCATAAATGACTTCTTCACCGCCGCCGAGTCTTCAAGAGGTCTGGGAAGAAAACCGACTGGTGTATCATACAAGTTAGTATTTCCATACATACTCCGCTATTTTTATTGACAATCAATGTAGTCGCGTCATCTACCTTTCTCATGTGGAATCACTGCATTACCCTGTGTCAAGAGGCCGGTATCTTGTTACACTATCCGAAACGGCCTTTATGACGTCATTTTAAAGATTGACCTTGTCTGGAGGTGGGGACATCCACGACCAACAACACACATATTTCATGAATCCATTGCATCATCTAGAGCAACAAAAAAATGGACCTTAACCAACTTTTTGTTCTGTATTCTTCGCTATCTGAGTCTTAGCCTAGCAATGTATGTGCCGCATCTACTTCACCTAGGCCGGCATAACGTGCTGTAGCGTCCAGATAGTGGTTTATACAAATATAAGCGGTCTTTTGCGGCCCTCGCCCACTACATGCCACGCTTGGGAATGGTTTCGGACCGCAGGGGGCCCAATTCTTCTCTACTGCGCTGAAACTTTGCTCATCTTGCGAGGTTAAGTTGTTCTATATGCGTCATAAGACATTGAACTCATCTAGTTTTTCTTCCAGTCTACGCCTTTTACGACAGGAGTAAGCCTCTGCTTTACGGCCTGCTTATACTTCTAGCCTGTCATGTAGCAGCACAAGGTGTTTTAGTGGGACTCCTGGTGCCAAGAATGATAATAATACCCAGGTCTTTCCCCGCGAATCGCTTTGGCATATGCCTTGTAACCAGCAGCCCCTCTCAGCTATCCCATCTCTGGTGCGTGATACCCGCAGCGATATTAGCTCGATACTCATTTTTATTTCACTTTTGTCGCAAGGACACCTACAATAATTGTTGAAATCATCTTGTTTGCTTTTGTCGCTACAAGAGCTATCCAATCGAAACCGTGGATCATGAGATATGAGCAGAATATACTGGTTGTGTTAGTCAGAGACGGCAGCTGGGCCTTTATATGCATCTTCGGTTAGTTCACCTTTACCTGGGAGGGCTCAAGTGATTTATTGCATTCTACATGTCACCAAAGCGGTCTGCCTATGGACAACTATAGCTTCTCGAGTCAACCATGCACAGGAAGATATTGCACTTGCGTGAGTGCTCTCAAACGTGTCAAGAAGTGCGGTCTTAGTCGCAAACCTGTTTATCACTAGCTGGGGAATCACCTTGCAAGGCTATTGTGTGAGTTCAACTACTCCTTGTTGGGCCATAACTTACGCTTTTGTTTTTTAGGGTACACATTTGGTTCTCAACTTGCGCTCGGAGGCTTTGAGAACTCGATCTGCAACAACTCTTAATACACACCTAGGGATGGCGTTTTTGGACAATTCTTCCATGACTGATCCAGGCGCTCCAGCACTACTAGTGGAAGATTCGTAGCAATCATGACCAGTGAACTGCCCATGGGGACTGTCCTATACCGTTAGATACTATAGCCTCTTTATTAGCCTGAAGTTGAACCAAGGGATATCTTAAGTATATATATATATATATTCTGATGGGACACATGCTCTTATGGTTTTGCTATCCTGAGGGCAGGGGTCTTATAATTACTAAAGATGCGCTCACCTCAAGTGTGAAGTGAACCCTGGATATCAGTCAATAACTCTCCGTGGATCAGTTCTACTACCTAAATATTTGCTAGGAGATCATTGGCGTAGTTGATCGTCATATATATCCTAGCTGTGAATATATAACCACGTCCATTTGGAACTGATGAGAGAAATGCTCCGAGTCCCTCAGATCTGCCTCATCCTTCAATTAATAAATCAGCGCAACCAAGACAACCCCGGCTCACCCCTGGCGTGGCTGTAATCAAGCAGCTTTCGCTTTCGCCATTGTCACCAACTTGTTACTGATACATGCATGCACGATGCACCCTCAAAGTTTGAGGATGAAGATGAAGCCAACATGTTCAATTGGTCATCAGAAATCCCACTAACTCTTAATTCCCACAACCTTTTGCATGGAGGATCCCCTTGGACTTTGCTCGAGGTTCCCACTTACCCGCACGCCTCCCCTCCCGCCGCCATCACTTATGACTTCGGCCCAAACCTCTCCAAGCCGTGTGATCACCATCTCCTTACTCCAGTTCGACTGAGATCAACATCAAGCTTCAAGCTTCAAGTTCGACAACGTCTTGATATTATTCTTTGAAAATGTCCGCAATCGCATGCATGTTTTACCCACAGCTAGCGTGTATCACTCTTAGGATCGATCTATCCCCCACCTCAGTGACTGATTCCAGAGTACCAAATAAACTTGAGATGGAAACGCTGGCAGGGACTACGAACCGTCGAGCATCATGATCATAATGCTGTTAGCTTGGATAGACGAACTCACGTGAGTATATGGGCTTCATCAAGCTTGCGGTCGTCAGCCTTCTTAGCTCAGCGGTAGTAGCGCGTCACTAGTAAGGAATACATATGACGAGGTCGGTCGTTCAAATCGGCCAGGAGGCATTTATTTTTCTCTACGAAAGCCTCCGCTTTGGGTTCTAACATTAATGTACAAGCTGGCCTTTATAATTAGATTCCCCATTTTACATGACAGTGCTATTCGTTTCTCAACATTTAACCGGTACAATTCATATTATCATTTTACACAGTCACTCAGTTGGACGTCCTGCCCGCCTATCCTCTCGGCGTTGCTCTAACTGTATTAACCCAGTCAATGATGTAGTTGGAGCGGGTATCCATGCATTGTTATCATACCCATGCGGCTTTGCACTCTCGATACGCTCGGAAGAAATCTGTGCATCTGTCACGGTCGTAATCATTGCGGTTCAAGCAATCCATGGATGCCTACAGGCGGTGTCAGGAATGAGAATATCTATTTGTCTGGCGCACATACTTTGGAGGCATGCTCGCAAGGGCTATGTAGTGTGAATTATCATTTTTGCCGAATATGCAGTCAACCTGCTTACTCGGCCCATTTGGTCACGATCTCTCTGCCCTGTCAACAGCAGCAGTCAATGAGCTATCATTCGACTCGCAAGGATACTATATCACTTGGAACTTCTCCCTGTAATTCTGTGGAACTGAGATCTCTGGAGGAGGGATGTCGGAAGACATGCTATGAGCGGGAGCTAAATTAGGCGGCTCCGATCCGTCAAGTATTTACGCCCACACTTGACTTTCGCCGTTGGAGAGGGGGCCATTTCCTTGTGGCGCCACCCGCAATTTGACGGACGGACTGGCAACTTCATACTTACGTCTACCTACTCTATATTACTATACGCGTTGTATTTTCTGGAGTTAAGGAGTAAGGTGAGTGGTACTGATGATGTTTTCTTCAGCAGAAGCCTGCAAATGACTAATACTTGGTACAACTCAAGTACTATGGATGTTGTAGAACGGGCCAATATTGCAGTCCAGAGCCGATGGTAATATGCCACAGCTTGTTTTCACGCTGCTAGGCAGTTAATTATATACAGGGAAAAGCTCTCCAAAGTAGGAGAGGGGACCTACGCGGTTGTGTACAGAGGTCGGTTGTCCTAGCCGCCACCACTCACTTGGTTATCATTTACATTGAATATTTAAGGGAGGGAAGTGGCTACAGGTCGTCAAGTGGCCATTAAAAAGATCAAAGTTGGCCAATTTAAGGACGGCCTGGACATGTCTGCCATCCGCGAGGTCAAGTACCTCCGCGAAGTTCATCACCCCAACGTGATCGAGGTGTGTCAGCTCTGATATTGGCTTCATGGTCCTGACATGGCTTGCCTTTCCGTCCTCCTTCGTAGCTTCTCGACGTGTTTTCTGCGAAAAAGAATTTAAATTTGGTCCTTGAGTTCTTGGAATCCGACCTAGAGCTCATCATCAAAGATCGCTCGAACGTGTTTCTTCCTGCAGACATAAAGAGTTGGCTCGCGATGACGCTTCGGGGACTTGAGTTTTGTCATAGAAATTTTATCCTACACAGAGTGCGTGTAAACTCTGACAATCTTTCATCCGCAACCACGTTTGATATTTTCTTAACTCCCCCAGGATCTCAAGCCTAACAATTTACTCGTTGCGGCTGATGGCCAGCTCAAAATCGCAGATTTTGGTCTCGCACGAGACTTTGCTGATCCAGGGCACAAAATGACTTGTCAAGTCATCACCCGGTATGCCGTTAACTTTACCCCTCCCTAACGCCTTAGTATGACTTCCTCTCGTCCACCTTTATATCCCCTCACAAGCTTTTTCTTATCGTCACACTATACAGATGGTACCGCCCACCAGAACTACTGTTCGGTTGCCGATATTACAGCTCTGCCGTGGATATGTGGTCCGTGGGTTGCATATTCGCGGAGCTCATGCTCCGGGTGCCTTATCTTCCTGGAGAGAGCGACATGGATCAACTCAAGACAACCTTTCGAGCTCTTGGGACGCCGACGGAAGAAGACTGGCCTGTACGTCTGTTATGCATGTCCTTTCATCTCCTATTCTGCGATCTCTATTGCCTCTTCATCATGATCTACATTCCAACTCACCCCCTGTGCCTCCTAGGGCCACACAAAACTCCCAGATTACGTCCCCGTTGGCCAATTTCCGAAACCCCAACTGCGTGACTTATTCACAGCAGCCTCTGCTGATGCAGTTGCGCTCCTTTCGAAATTTCTGGCTTATGAACCTCGAAGACGAGTTGGAGCCAAAGAGGTGGGCTCCCGTCCTATTTCGCCGAGTGAGCTCGCCCACATCTTAAGACCAGGCACTTCATCATCCGTACTTCTTTGCTCTCCCGTTCCCCACGCATCCCTCCAAGCTCCCTAAGACGAAGAACCCCCTCGCGCCTCGACCACTCCCTCTTGAAGAGCTGGACGCCAATTCACCCGCTTTCTCCCCGAAACCGACCCTACCTTCCAAAAATGGCACAGAAACTAACAGGTTAAAACGCAAGTCGTCAGCAACCGATGCTATCGAGACTGAAGGTCGACATGTCGCAAGAAGACTAGACTTCTCAGCGTCATGATATTTATGACATCCCAGTGAAGTCTTACCTCCTAGAGATTTTGGAACTTGTTGTATACCAGTTATGAAAGGGCTATGAGGGTCATGATGGCGACCAGAGTATCGTCATTATTCAGGGTACAAGATCTTGCTTTGCTATCGATTTCACGCTTCACGATTTCACGACCCACACGCCATTGTCAAATGTCAGTTTCCACGACTTCCACGTCCCCAAAGCCTCTGTAGCAGTGCCGAGAAAATATACAAATGTAGAAATCACAGCGATATGTACGAAAGCCTTTCATCCAAGTCCAAATTCGCCGGTAGTACCATTGGTCTCTTCCAAGATTACAAGAATGGGGAAAGTGATGTGAAGTTACGGCTTGATCTCATCACACACGCTGCATTTTGTTGAACTGTAGTCCCCCGAATACGTAAGCCTTAAGTCTGGGAATAATAGTACGATCCACTTACCCCTCCTTATTTCGGCATGAACATAACCCGCAGGTCCACCCAGTAGATGTAGGGCGGGACATACCCACTGCGTCCCAGTTAAATGCCTTGACTTCTGCTTGTGGTACCAGTGCCAGTGCTGGTGCCGTGACAGGTGCGGGCACCGGCTTACCAACGAAATCGAATTTGGGGAGTTCGGTTGTGGGAACGGCGAGCGCGAGGTCACGCTGCTCTGCATGCTCGGACAAGAATGACGTGTTGGTTGTGAACGCGAAAGCAAAAGTTGGGAGGGAGCTAACGGGAACTTCGAGGACCTGTTTTTTCGCGAGAGAAACCAAATCTATGTTCATGTCTGTAGACGCAGGTGGGAGTCCGAGCGGTGTAGAAGTGGGGGGCACTGGAACAGCAGGATTGGGCGGTGCTGCAATGGTGTCATCGGTAGATGGAAGCGAATTATTCTGGGGGGATGAATTTGCGAGAGAGACACTGAAAGGTGATGGTGCAGACTTGGGAGCAAACGGGGATGTAGACATGGACCCGAATGGTGAAGGTACAACCGCCGTGGTGACTGCAGAAGAGGCAGCCGCTTGTGTAAAAGGAGACGGGGCAGAGGTCGATGCAAAAGGAGACGGAGCAGACGTCGATACAAAAGGAGACGGGGCAGACGTCGATCCAAAAGGTGAAGGAGCAGACGTCGACGCAAAAGGAGATGGGGCAAGAGCTGATGTAAAGGGGGAAGGAGCAGACGTCGATCCAAAAGGTGAAGGAGCAGACGTCGATCCAAAATGTGAAGGAGCAGACGTCGATCCAAAAGGTGAAGGAGCAGACGTCGATCCAAAAGGTGAAGGAGCAGACGTCGATCCAAAAGGTGAAGGAGCAGACGTCGACGCAAAAGGAGATGGGGCAAGTGCTGATGTAAAGGGGGAAGGAGCAGACGTCGATCCAAAAGATGAAGGAGCAGACGTCGACGCAAAAGGAGATGGGGCAAGTGCTGATGTAAAGGGTGAAGGAGTAGCCGTTGATGCAGAAGGGGATGGTGCAGGTACCGATGCAGGAGACGAGGCAAAAGTCTGTGCGAAAGGAGAAGACGTCGATACAAGAGGGGATGCAGATGCCGATGAAGATGCTGAAGAGGCGGGATTTTGTGGAGGACTGGGCGGCGCCATACCGGGCTGGAAGCTCTGTCGCAATGGCGAGGGCTCCTTGGGTGTGCTTTGGAAGCGAGTCGTCGCAACACCTTTGCCAAATGGGCCAGTAAAGACGGGTCGTTTCACCTCCTGCTGCTGCTGTGTCTGGGCTTCTTGTGACTTGGTTTCCTGGTCAGGTTCGATCACCTCACTGGGTCGGCTGACATTGCCAGTCACGGCAGCCTCCATGTCCACATCCTCGATATCAGTATTGGTCTGTGCCTTGGCATCTACTTCCACGTTCTTCTCAGTGGAAGGCTGCGACAGTTCCGATTTCTGCTTCTTGGAAGGCGGCCCTCGCAACTCGTCCTCATCCTCGACAACCTCAACGGTAACAGTTTTTACAGCGTTTGATCCCGTCTGAATAGGCGCCGTAGGATTTCCTTTACCGTTCACGGGCGCAGAGGATTTGGGAGGGGGCATGCCTGTATGGGATCGCTTTGAACCAGTCTGAACAACCCAGCGGTAAATCAAAGTGTCATTAATATCACGACGGCAGAAACTACCTGAGCTTGTGGAGCCGTGCTCTGTATAGTCTCAAGTGCGCTCAACTTCTTGGGCGCAAGGGAGGAAGGCGTGCCATTCGACTGCCGAGTGGGCCGAGGTGGTGGTCGTGGCGCCTTTGTAGCAGCCTGTGGGTTTGTATGTATTGGAGACTCATCAAGCAAAGCTGACGACATGACTGACCATACGGCTGCGTTTTGTGCTCACCCTTGTAGGTTGATATGGGTTTCTTACGTCAGGCACAGTATCCTGAAAATGACAATGAAAGCGTCAAGAGACACCCAGGAGGCTAGGGTAATCATCCCTATAAAGTAGAATCCACACACCTTTGGTGTTGCATCCTTAATTATTCCCGCCATAATTTCGCTCGCCTTCTCGCTAGCCCTA